TTGCTAATTCATTTGAGAGTTCACAGGATGGTACACTCATATGGAAACCTCACAGACCGGAATTGTACTGTTTGCAAATTATAGTTCAATATACCCTACTGTATTTTTTAAAGTTACTTCTATTTGATTTTGTGTGTATGCATTTTATTTTCTGTAGGCTTGTCTGCATGTATATATGTGCACCAAGTGCATGCCTGCTGCCTGAGGTTAGTAAAAGGCACCAGTCCTCTGTGGAGCTGGAGTTACAGATGGTTCTGAGTCACCGTTACCATGTGGGTGTTGGGAATTGAACCCAGGTCTTTTAGAACAGCAGCCATTGCCCTTAACCTGAGTCATCTCTCTAGCCCTACACGTAACTTTATGAATCAGATTTCATATCAAAGTAAAGCTAGTGTTTTCACTTAACAGGATCCTCAACTTCTATTTTAAAAACCTCCATCTTTTAAATCATGCTCTTAATTTTGATTTTAATTTTTTATTCAGAAAATAAAAAGGTTATGTAGATTTAAAAGTATCAATTGCTTATCAATTCTACTTTCCACTTGACGTATTTAACATAGCACTATATAAAAAAAATGTGGTTAAAAGAAATAGTACACAGAAGCTGGAGAGATGGCTCAGCGTTTAAGAGCACTGACTGCTCTTCCAGAGGACCTGAGTTCAATTCCCAGCACCCACATGGCAGCTCACAACTGTCTGAAAATCCAGTTCCAGGGGATCTGACACCTTCACACCAATGCACATAAAATAAAGATAAATAAATCATAAAAATTAAAAAAATAAATAGTACACACTGGTAAACTAAAATTTACATACTTGTATAGTGAGTATAGCCAGAAGGGAAAACCAAATATTATACAGGGGTCTGTTTGCAAACATTTGCCATATATATACATATATATGTATATATATACATATATATGACAATTCCTTTTTTCTATAAAATATTTGTCATTACATAAATGTGGTAAGGGGTGATCATTTTCTATAATTATTTTAAATCAGCACTTCAGTTAATAATTACTGAAAATTATAATAAAGCCCAATTATAGGAATGCTTTGTTCATTCAAAAAAAAAAAAAAGCTCCAAACACTAAATAACAAAAGGGAGAGATTATTTTAGATCAGCACTCACTGAAGTTGATCAGTTAGAAACCATATTCTAGGCTCAAGGTCATGCTGAACATTTTCAGTGCCTTAATCATGCACAGTATGAAGTGGTAATAACGGCAGTGCAGGCCTAGATTAACAAGCTAATCACACCTGGTTCCACTGTTTTCTCTGAGTGCAATAAAAATGCAGCCTACCCAGAGCACTGGGGCTGCATTCACATACATAAATTCTAGTAAATCCATGTTTGTTATTTGTTAGGGGGTGTCCTTGTTTTTATTTGTTCATACAGGGGGGAAACTAAGTGATGAGCCCATTTATCCTGTTGGCCTATTTCTTTTTCTTTTTTTCTGTCTGCTTATTTCTGTGATGTCTGAATGAAGAATACAGGCTAAGATTTAACAATAACAATTTTAGTTTCGTCATAATGATACGGGGTATGTTCCCAAGGATTCCGAGGAACGGCAGAGAGATCGTCATTCCATGACACTCAAGCGAATGTAAATCTCATTGTCCAAAGACACTTGGAAGAAATCAGAGGCATAATCATTATGAACAGAAAAAAAAAGTCTTTTCATTGATGAGTTTTCCCTCGACCTTTTTCATTCCCCCCCCCCAATTTACAGAAGCAACTTGAAATATCCTGCACCTCTACGTACATATTCAAATGAAGGGAGGGAACAGAGACAATTACATATACAAGTTGGGCTTTTAATTCTGTTATCTATAAAAGGAAAACTCTGGCTATCAGTCAAGCAGTGGTAGTGATCCTTAGACCTCTGCTTCCAACTGGCATCTCTAATCTCTAAGTTACTTTTCTTTTCAATACTTATTAATGCCAACATTAAGCAATAGTGTAGAAAAAAGCATTTGCCACTACAGATGTGAACATATGACTGTGCACCAGGGTAACAAAGAATACTGAGGCAATGGACTCCATTATTCAAGCAATTTTTAAAAATTCACCTCCATTCTTAGGGTGCTCAGATTGAAGAAACAGAACAGGTCTATCTCATATAAACATTGACCTTAATCTCCTGTGATGAACCTGACTTTCAAACACAAAATAATGACTTTAAGAAGTCCTTGCAACTTTCAAGCTATTTTGTTTTAGTGCTTTTATACCATAAGTCACAACAGAAAGAAAGATAGATATATGTCATCAAATTACCAGAAAACACCCTCTATTTTACTTTATTTAATATGACACATAAAGAAAATCCTGCACAAATATCTGTCTTTAATTTCTCTAGTGTAAAAGGGACTACATTATGTCTGGCAGAAAAAAACAGTTAAAGTAGCTTGGGTACATTTTTAGAAAAGAGGAAAAGGAAGAAATCAGATGCATACAATGAGCCTTCAAAGCCACTCCAGCAGTAGAGATAAATAATTTAATAAAATCAACTTCATATTCTTTTAAAGTCTCCAGAGTAATAAGCACATATTAAAAAATAAAACTTTAACTTCATGAACAGTTGTGAATAAACTAGCTGCTGGCAGATAATGAAAACACGGAGGACAGTGTGTATGTGAGCCCTGCAACTGCTCAGATCCCTTATGAGCTTCCAGAAGGTTGTCACTGGTGAAGTCAGTGAACTTGCAATTCAAGTTTAAATAGTCATTAAAAACAAAACAAAACCTAGAAACCTTAGGTTCTATACTTCTGAACACAGTGCAGTTTTTCTTTATAGGAGACTGCATGCGCGACTTTGCACAGGCCATGAAAGTGCACCCCCTCGGGGACAGTCACTCAGGAAGCTACACTTCAGAAACAGTTGTCTTGTCCTTATTATTTGGGATGTTCCAAGTGTTGAAGTTCACAACACTTGTTTTATGTTCACAAATATGGCTAGTTGTTATAATATCAGGCTTGTATTAGCTTCATGTGTTTTCCCTAATTGTAATATTTTAAATGAAAACTGCATTTGTTAAACCCTAAACATCATTCCAATGCAAGCATCTCAGTGGTTACATCATGAAATTCTTGGGTATTTCTTTTCCCTCCAATTAGGTCACTTTTCTTCAATTATCCTTCTATTATTAGCTCATGTCAAGGATGCCTACATGCATACCACTGGAAACAATTCACCATTTATGTCTAAAAACACGAGGCACACATCAGCTTTTCTTCTGATACTTCGTAAGACTATATTTTAAAAAATCGACTGGCATCAATCCAGTTCTTATACAGACTTTTCATATAATAAAACAGATTTTATATCATTTGAGTATAACAGCATCAGTTCAAACAATCCAATAAGTCGAATGATTTTTTAAATTAAAATTACGATAGTAGTTAAATAATTTACCAGTACAAAACATGTCTAATGCCAAAACCTCGATTAAAATCAGGTGAACTACACAAAAATACATCGTTAATTTCAATTCCTCTCCATGGGCAATTCAATTAAAGAAAGCATGGAGGGAAGGAAGCAGCCATCAGTGCAGTTTAGTTTTCCTTCAACAACGAGGACTTGAGATTGCGGAATGGATTCAGCTACAGACGCAATTCATTTCCCGGGCTCAGAGTAGCAGACGACCGGGGTAGCAGCAGCTAGAAAGACAAGCTAGTGTTGTTATTCTAAGCTGCCGGGTCAACCCACAGCGATTAAAGCCGCCTGAGTCCAGTTTTATGCAAATCACTGCTAGCGTCGGGCGTGGTGGGTGCTTCCAGGACTCCGTGGCCTGGCCTTCAAGAAACTTCACTACCCTGCAACACTCTAGGGCTAAGGACTTTCGTGGTTCCCTTGCTCCAAGTGAAAAATCGTTAGGGAAGGGCCTCGGTTCCATCCATTAGTTTGCACAAAGTGCTTCGGTGTTTAGCTTCGCTTTAACCCAATTAAGCCGCACAGCGAGCGCAGAAAGATGCGCCACCTGCGCCAGGCTGCAGTCAGCGACGACGGTATCCCAAATCCCTCTGTCGGACACAGGGAACTACCAGGGCCTCGGTGTTGGAGCTACCTTGAGCTCAATAGGCCGTGTTGAGGCACCGAGGGCGCGATCTCGGAGGAAGGTCAGGGCCAAGTATCCCTAGGTTACACAGAGGTCCAGAGAACTCTCGGCCGGCCGGGGCCTCTCTAGGGCGGGGCGGCGGCGAGAGCAGAGTGGCACAAGGACACTGAGCGTGGTTTGCAGCAGTAGTGGAGAATAGGGACACCCAGAAAGCTTTACAATTAACCTGAGTGCAGATGAACCAAGGAAGAGAGCTGGGGAATGAGCAAGGACCGCGGAGTGAGCCTGACTGGCGCAACCCCACCCTGAGGACCCGGGCGTTCCCACTCCTAGCCGCACAGTTCTTTCTTGTTGGTTTGGTGTTGGTTGCCTCCTTCAGCTGCCAAAAGGTAGCAGTGCGTTCACCCGCGACGCCTGCAAACTGGGGAGGGGCTTTGAGAATTTCTACTCCATTCTCCCAAGGGAAAAGAAGGTCTTGGGGGAATGGAATAGACGGCCATTGTAAGCCCCAAATATTACACACTATTTTAATCTAAATCGAAATCTATCATTCTTGGGTAACAAGAAACAAAATTAGAGGTGGCCCTCTGACTTTTAAAAGTTGGGAGTCTTCAACAGGAGTCCATTACAACCGCTTACACAGGTGTTACTCTATCCTTATACTGGAAATCTTTTAATGCGAAACAAACTGACCTCTGCACTAAAAGCAGGCGACTGAAATCTACTACGCAAGCCCTAATCACTCTTTCTTTAGCTCATGTGCACTGAGGACTCATCTGGTGATGACATTGGCTAGGAGGAGCTCCCTAAAAAACCTCTTTAGCGTTCCAAAAAAAAAAAAGAAAGAAAGAAAGAAAAAAAGAAAAAAAAAGAAAATTTTCAGTATGAAACCTAAAGAAACAAACTCAAACCTGAAAGGTTACAAATTAATTTTTGAAGCCGCTGGCCATTTTCTCACAATCAAATTATGAAATCCCATAAGATTAGGAACCCATTGTTGGTCTCCACTAATGATACCTGAGATGGGAGATCTGTCTTTACGTCTGCACGAGCTAACAAGGTCGAAGGGCCACACCTTCAAGTTCTCAAGTTAAGTCCACTTCAGTGAATTGGCTAGATTCTGCCCAACACAGCTCATCTAAATCCCAAAGATCTTGTGGAAAGTATTCCCGAAAGAGCACCATACAGCCTTCACTGTGGTTTGTTATGTTAGCATTGGCCAGCCTAGCTAAGGACAAGGGGAACTGCAGATAGGTAAGTGAGCTTGTTTTAATCAGCCTTCTTTAACTGGGTAGATATATCTACGGTACTCAGCGGCAATTTTTACATTCCTCTCAGTGAATGAAAATAGGGAAAACCTAGGTAAAAAGAGAACAGGTTTTTCCTAAGGTTTTGAAAAGTGTTCAGAACACCCAATATGGAGAAAAGCTGGAGAACTCTGAGATCTGAAACTAGCAGTTAGTTAAAAAGCAAACTTCTAGCTTGCATTAAAAAGAGCCCAAGGATTAACATGCACTAATGACCTTCCTCTAAATTTAAGTTAGTGACTTTGTTCTAAAAGGCTCCTTTGACTTCACTAATTGGTGAATGACCACTGGTACACCTGGTAGCTCACCAGAGGTGAACAGACAAGCAGGCTTTACAGCACTGAGAGACACTTCTCTTCGCCAAGTCTTTCCCAAGTGTCAATATGCTTCAAGTTATACCAAAGCCAGATTTCTTCTTGCTTTCCAACCTGTCTAGGTGGCCTGGGTGGTTTTCTGCCGGCAGCAGCTTCCTACCTTTGGTTTCTGTGCCTCTATCCACGAGGGGGATTAATTAGCCAGGCTGAAGCTGGGGGAGGCTGTCGTGACGAGCCCAGTGGCGATTGGCCGCCCGCCTGCCTGGCCCTGCCTTTATAATTTCCACACGAGTGCATCTGGGCTTTTACACAAACCAACAGCAGCTTCTTCTGACAGACACACACTCACCCCGACACACACTCGGCACACTTTTCCTCCGTCTGATTAACAGTCCTGCACACACCATGATTACGGAAAAACGTAAATAAATACGTAAAGGGGTGACTATTTTGACTACTGGAAGATCTTTGCGGGGATTCAGCGCAACTTTTGTTTTTATTACTGAGAAGGTGTTCTCTCCACGCGTCTCTCTCAGTGGATTCATTAGCGGAGGAGAGAGGGGGAGAGTGCAGCCTTTCACTTTAAGACCGGCTAGGCTCGCGGATAAAAGGCCAGCTGGGCAGGGCGGCCCCCACTGCAGCCTGTCCGAGAGGCTAGGTGCCTTTTGCGCGTGGCCCCCTTTCACCACCGAAGTTGGCTCCAGCGCTAGCAGCCGCATTGGATCCCACAGCTTATTGTGAGACTCCGGTGTACAATCCGGATCTCTGCCCCAACATGATCGCGGCCCAGGCCAAGCTGGTCTACCACCTGAATAAGTACTACAACGAGAAATGCCAGGCCAGGAAAGCTGCCATTGCCAAAACCATCCGGGAAGTCTGCAAAGTGGTCTCCGATGTCCTGAAGGAGGTGGAGGTGCAGGAACCGCGCTTCATCAGTTCCCTCAACGAGATGGACAACCGCTATGAGGGCCTGGAGGTCATCTCTCCCACCGAGTTCGAGGTGGTACTCTATCTGAACCAGATGGGGGTATTTAACTTCGTGGACGACGGCTCACTGCCTGGCTGCGCGGTGCTGAAGCTGAGCGACGGGCGGAAGAGGAGCATGTCCCTCTGGGTGGAATTCATCACCGCCTCTGGCTACCTCTCCGCACGCAAAATCCGCTCCAGGTTTCAGACGCTGGTGGCTCAGGCGGTGGACAAGTGTAGCTACAGGGATGTAGTAAAGATGGTGGCTGACACGAGCGAAGTGAAACTGCGAATTCGCGATAGGTACGTGGTGCAGATCACCCCGGCCTTTAAATGCACCGGGATCTGGCCGCGGAGTGCTGCCCACTGGCCGCTTCCCCACATCCCCTGGCCAGGACCCAACCGGGTGGCAGAGGTCAAAGCCGAAGGGTTCAATCTGTTGTCCAAGGAGTGCCACTCCCTGGCCGGCAAGCAGAGCTCGGCGGAGAGCGACGCTTGGGTGCTGCAGTTTGCAGAGGCTGAGAACAGACTGCAAATGGGGGGCTGCAGGAAGAAATGTCTCTCGATCCTGAAAACCCTACGCGACCGCCACCTGGAGCTGCCCGGCCAGCCTCTCAACAACTACCACATGAAGACTCTGGTGTCCTACGAGTGCGAGAAGCATCCCCGGGAGTCGGATTGGGACGAATCTTGCCTGGGCGACCGGCTGAATGGAATTCTGCTGCAGCTCATCTCATGCCTGCAGTGCCGCCGGTGTCCCCACTACTTCTTACCGAACTTAGATCTGTTTCAAGGCAAACCGCACTCGGCTCTGGAAAACGCTGCTAAACAAACGTGGCGATTGGCAAGAGAGATCCTGACCAACCCAAAAAGTTTGGAAAAACTCTAGAGGATGATCTAATCTAGGGCCGACAAGATCACTCTGCTCAACGTCCTGACGAAATGAAAACTTCCTGGTTGATTCCTATTTAGTATTTCCTGAGACAGTGCAAACAATCTCTTCCTTTAAAAGGAGTAACAGCACAACATTTACGCATCATCTCACACACCCCTAAAAAGAGGAGGGAATGGAGTAGGGAAACGGGAAAACCTACACCCACAAGCATCTTTATGCAGGCAACTTCCATCTCCCCTGAAAAGTACACAAAACCTGAAAAGACCCAGAAAAAAAAAAAAAAAAACCCAAGCAACAACGCAAGACCTTGACCAACTCCATCAAAGGATTATAGCAATCTTGAGACTTAGGCGCATCTGCCTTCCAGTAAACAGGACCTGGATGTGGCATCGGAAGGAGCGAAAGGAGCGTGTAATGTATATTTTGATTTGTAACAAATATTGTGATCTCATGTTGTCTTTAAAAGTGTGGATGTTGGTGTTTTGTGATTTGGTGAACAAAACTGAAATTGCCGTTTGGAAATTTCCAGACACTTTCCAAGAACAAAGATGCATTTAAAGGTAGATTTCCTTCTGGTACTTTACCTGTCTGTGAAGTGTCTGAACTTAAAAAAAAAAGTTTACATTTTGTTTCAAATATATTGCTTGTTCTAACATTCCATAAGTATACTTGAAATGTTATTTAAATATATTCAAAGGAATTTGAATTCAGCTTATATAATAACGCTTGAATATCTGAATTATATATATTTGAAAATGCACTTGAAATACACTGGATAATTACTTTTGTGATTTAGATTTTAATTTCTGTTGCTGATTTTATTTAATTAGAAGAAAATAAATGAAGTAAAAATACCCAATTGTTGTGTCTCATTTTAAATTGTTTTCTGTCAAGAGAACTAATGGTTCCTTTTGAAAATCAACTCAAGTCTTTTAAAGATTTTGACTAACAGGCTAATAAAATCACTAAAAATACACACTAAAGGGGCTCTCTTTTGAATAGCTATAGAAAATATCCATTTCCTCAGTTTCTAATTTACTAGCTGGTTCTTTTCTACAAGTGACACATTTATAATCTACTTTTGAGACCCTGCTTCTGGTTAGTATTTCTGTAGATTTTTGACAATGTAAGGAGGGAAAATCTATCATGGCAATATTACTGAGTTTAAAAGAAGCAAATTCTAAGAAAATTAACTTAAAGTCATAAAAAGGCTGAAGTTTGTATATGAAATCCAAACAATAAAATGAACGTATCTTTTAGCTAATATACTTTATCACCCTATTTTAACACAACAGGGGTTATTAGAATAAATTAATCAGAAAACCGCAATTCATTTTTACTACATAGGGAAAGCTAATGACAAAACATAAAGACAAGTTCCTGTTTAAACACAGCACACTCTCGCAGCACACACCCATGGCGTTAGGATTCTTTGGTAGCATCTCACTGATCAACAAGTGCTGAGAGGCCTGCACCAAGGTTCTGCCTTAGTTAACTCAGGTGTCAGTAAATATTACAATTTCCTTTGTTCATTTAAAAGTAAGAGTCTATAACGTGCCAATTCTGTGTTTAACTTAAACAATAAGGCTCAAGGGTATTTTAGAAAAGTTTTGAAGTGACTTATAGGAAGATCTTTTTAAAGACAGTAGACTATCCACTAGAATAGCCCAGTATCGCAACCTCTTACCCTAAGAAGAAATTTACAAGACTTACAGTAAAATAAATAAAAAACTAGTGAAATGGATCGCAGAAGGGTGCTTGTCTGTAGGGTTCTCTGTTGGCCAGGGAGGCTAAAATCCACAAGGTAAGATTTAGCCTACATGTATGCCATGTCAGTGTGCCAAATGTGCACCTTCTGGAATGGCGTGTGAGTACAAGGGTGTGCTGTGTGTACATACAAATCCAAGCTGAGAAAGAATCTGCTTCTCCTCCTTTTAAATCCATATGTAAAATCCATTTAATTCAGGAGATGAAAAATGGATGTAATAATGGAAATGAAATTATATGTAAATAGCTCCTGCCCCAGTTTCCTTATAGCCTTTCAATAAATAATAATTCATATTGCAGTATATACTTTTGGAAATTAAATGTGATGTTTAACACAAAATTTCACAAGACCTATTCTAGTCTTCCCAGGAACTGAGCCACTGTGCCCCAGAGATCTGGGAGAAACTGGCTTAAACACCAAATCTGCCCAAGTGCACACAAAGGCACATAGGAAGAATGCTCAAATGCACATGCTCTGTTACATAAGTTTAGGATTTAAGCTCATTAATACAATCTTTAATTCTGAAAGAAACCATGTGTTATTTCATTCATTTTATTTTCTGTAAGAAAGATGAGAATATGTGTACCTCTTCAGTCATTTAAAACCAAGCAATACTGAAAACCACATCCTGCAACCAAAGCCATCAACGCTGTGCAGTCTAACTCACTTTTGTGTCGATCTTCTTGAAGGCAGCATCATCCTCATCTACCTCAAAGTAGATTTCTGTTGTGGTGATGGAGAGAGTTCCTTTGGCCACCACCACAGGAGCAATGAGCTGGGCAGGGGTGCTGAGAACCACAGGGCCTGCAAGACAGGGGCAATGAGTCAGTCTGGGCCTCTCTGGTGCTCCTACATTTCCTTCCAGAGAGTATGGTGAGGTTTTATCTTTTAAAGATGCACTAGGAAAAACCGTAACAATTTTATGCAAGGTCTTTTTATGTTAGGTAAGGTATGTTTAGTATCTATATGGTACCTTGAAACTAGACGAGGAATTCTATAAAAACTCAAGAGTTCATAAGAAACCCATAACATGCAAATTTGCAGCCTCTGCCTAGAAATCTACATGGTTGGTGAGGCACTGCCTTTATCCTACTTACAAAGGTTGATCACAAGGGATGCTTCCTGTGCCCTGCTTCTCCAGGACCACGACTCGCTCTGCAAGGGACCCTAGGCAATGAGTAATGCCCCCAAAGACCAACCATCTCATAAGTCAATCCTTTTGGCAGCGCCTCTACCCCAAGGAGAGGTGATAGAGGCGGAAGGTTTGGAAAGCAGCTAAATATACAAATCCCAAGGGGTAGTATTTTCCGGAAGGATTGTTTTAATTTTGGCGTGCTAAGGTGGTACATTCACTACTGGGAGTGCAAAGCTACCGGGTTCTTATGAAGAAAATAACGAAAATCTTGGCCGTCATTTTCTCACCAGAGCACACCAAAGATGAAAATGTGAGAAAAACGCTGAAACAAAACCGTTCTCAGAAAAGGGGTTGGAAAGTGGGATTTCTCAGCTTTTGGAACCAGAGAAATTAGGATTCAATAGATTTTTGTTAAGTTTGCGCACCCGATGGAGTGCTCACTCCGAATTTCTTCAATTAGAACAATGATTCGAGGGGAAATTACTTGAAACCCCTTTCTCTTCTCGCTATTGGTCTACACATACGACAAAGAATTCAGAAATAACGTGGGCTTTGTTGATTTCTCTTAGGTTCTAGGGAGCAAGCAACAGAACCCAGTCATTAATGCCCGCCCTTAGCTGCACACGGCAGGAGACAGGCAACCGGGGAAGTCTCGCGCTCACCCGCAGGCCCAGGCCTGAGCCGGGAAGGCTCGCGGAGCCAGTGGTCCGGAGCCCGGCTATTTCTGAGAGGAGACCCGGAGGCCTAGACCGGTTTTGGTGCGGCTTACTGAATCAGGCCCGCAGCAGACTAAGTGGGGTCGCCTTCAGCGGTGCTACTGCCTTGCAGAGTAGCAAGGAGGCCCGGACTCCCGGTGCCGCCAGAGGAGTTGGGTCCTCAGCTACTCGCGGGAGGTTTTTTTTTTTTTTTTTTTTTCTTTTCCAAGGGGCGAGGCGGTCGGTCTGGAGCGCCACTTTAAAGGCTCATCAATCTTAATCTAGGTTGCTCAAGTAATTATGCCCGAATCTCTTGTACGATTACAAGTGGATTTGGGTTTCTATTCCCCAGGCCCTCCTTTGTGTTTATTGGAGGGTCCGCGCTAGCCCGCGCCTCCAGCCCCCGGGGCCCTCCTCGGAACGCCCGCGCCCGCCCGCGGGTTCGAACCGCTCCCTTAACCCTTGCGCCTCCGCAGCACGGCACCCGGCGCGGGTTTCCTCGTTCCTTCTCCAAAATGTTTTGTTGTATTCACATTTGAAACAGTATCTTAAACAACTTGGGTCTGGCAAAAAGGCAAACAAACAAACAAACAAACAGCATCCACCTACGAGCACGCTGTAGGTTTTTAGAAGTCTGACATTTGGAAAAAAAACAATGGTTCAAAAACATTAAAGACGGCGAGCTGCTTCCTTCTCCTAAAAGTAATTTAACATATCCAAACAATAAATTTGTTTAAAACTGGAAAAAAATTAAAAAGATCATGAGTGGAGTTATTCAAACTACTATACTCTCTGGTTTACTGAAATACAGCACGAATTTTACGAAAACAGCTCGGGAGCTTTTTATTTGGGAACATTTCTAAAACGGAACTGCGCTTCCTTTTTATTCTTTTCTAATTTTTCTATTGGGTTGAGATTTTCTGGGAGTTTATGAAAGGATTTCTTTAAGAAAGACACATCACGGAACATTCAACCTTAGATGCATGTCCCCCAACCCCTGCAAATCTCCAATTACAACTCCCAATTCCGCAGATTGTTGGAGGAGTGCAGGGCCTTTTTGTTGTAGCCTCCGGGGAACAGAGCAGCCAGAGAGCGCACAGTTAATCCACTGCAGCGTTAGAGAAAGGGGATTAGCTTTAATCCCCTTCGGGGAGCCTCTGGATTTTAGGGATCCTGTATTAAAATGTTTACCTAAAGCACAATCACAAGCCAGCATGTTTTCCATACGGTACCAAGTGATTTAGAGACCTGGGATCTTTTTCCAGAGTGTTTTGAAGGGCAGTATCCCTGGTGCTAGGAGATACTCATCTACCGACCTCATTTCTAGCGCCCCTCCCCCATCTCAGCACTATGGGTTTAACCTCCAGAACTTTGCTTGGTATTGTGAATTGGGAACTGACTGTAAACACATCCATTCCAATAGCTACCCTAATAATGAAAGAATAAATTACAATGATGTCCTCAGCACACACAGAACAGTAATGTTACAAAATGCAAAAGGTCTA